TAGGGTTTAGGGTTTAGTGCTGAACCTCTTCATGGGACTAAGGAAAGCGAGCAAGCGCTTCCATTCTCACGCTGGAGCTTCAGGACGCCCTTCTTGCTCTGCATGTAGACACTCGGCGCGGCAGACTCTAAATCATGATGTTTGGGTTTGGGCTTTTTTAGTATCTAAGATTCTAGCTTTAGTGGTGCTGCGTTTTTCAGTCAACACAAAAGCACCTGGCATTGTTGGCAAGAAGAGGTCAAAACGAACAGCATTGTGTTCTCCCGGACCTTCATGGTAAGAAGAGCGGAAAAAAGGACGATGGAATGTTTGCCTTTGATTCAAGATCACCATCACAATGAGCACGTTGGGGAATACTCGGGCCACTTTGTTGCTTGGGTTGCTTCGGAATAGCTTTCCTCCAATCACTGTGGAAGCAACAAGGGTTGTTCTCAAAATTATGGGCCCTTTTTAGTTATAGGTTATGTTCCGGCACCTAATATTTAGGGGTACCAAAATGGGACCCACAAGGCTTGCAGGAAGACTCTTCGGCTCCTGTGCCTTTGCAGATCAAGGAGCCCGTTGTCTTACCTTTGGTTATCTGGGAATGAAGGAATGGAAAAGAAAATGGAAACCACTATAATGGCCTATATAGGGACTACTATCCCTAAACCCTACACCCTAAACCCTAAACCCTGAGCCCTATATAGGGACTACTACATAAAGATCCATTCCTTCATTCCTAGCTAACAAAAGGCTAGCCATGAGAAGTTCTTTGCAAACACCGACGGCAATACACGAGTCCTTGCGAAGTCTGCTGAGCTCGGTTAAGGTTTAGGGTTTAGGATTTAGGGTTTAGGATTTAGGGTTTAGGGTTTAGGGTTTTTTACCCGAAGCCCACAGATTTCATGATCAATACTTGACCAAGACCCTGCCAGCATTGCAAATACTGGTGGCATGGAACCTCCAACTTTTCCAAGCTCCCCACCTGATTTCAAACAACAACCACCAACCGCGGCTGTGGTCCCTGCACACCAGGCATGAACTTGAAGCCCATCATCCGGTAATACCAAGGCCTCTGATTGGATGAAACCAGGAGTGTAACTGGCAGCTTTTGATTCTACGTCGAGGCATCCAGCATGGAAATATATGACAACTTGTCGGGCGGCGCCTATTACGCCCCTGGATGGCGGGAACCGTAGGGAGTCTTTGCAAATAGCTTGGGGCTATTCAGGGAGTTCCGCCTCCTCCAAACAAAACTTCCTGTTCAAATCGACTGCCTTTTCGATCGTCCTTGCACCCCCCAACCCCTCTGATGACATTTGGTAATTTCCCAAGATTAGGGCGCCCCTATATGATCCCCAATGACCATAATCCTTAATGCAGTAACCCCCAAAAAGGGTACCCCTAGTTACGGGAAACCCCCATTTCTGAATCCTTGACTCTCTTTAGGCCCTCAGGCCATTGCCCCAAGACAGCTCGGGGTTAGGTTGAGGTGCCACTTTCAAAAAAATCCTGGCTCTAAGGCCTCCCAAGCCTTGATCGCTTTTACCGTCAAAGCCATGAACCCAAAAAAACCTCCAACTCTGAACCATAACCCCATTGGAGTTATGGGGGTTATATTGGGGCTTTAACAAGGGATATATAGGGTACCCTAGACCCTAAACCCTAAACCGTGTGTTCTTGGGCTAAGGAGGGAACATGATCACGTTGGTACACCGGCCGTAGAACAGGTCTCGATCGTGGCGAAAGGCATCGACCTTGGCTGCTCCCAGGGCCACGGTCCATACGGGTTTAGGGTTGAGGGTTTAGGGTTTGGGGTTTAGGGTTTAGGGTTTGTTGGGGTTATATAAGGATATTGGAAAAGAAAATGGAAACTACCAAATTTTTGGGTATATATTGGGGCTATAGTCCCCCTTAAGTAGATAGAATATGGGGTATGTGGGGATCTTATCACAATATCCCCAAAACGGTATTCTATCTACTTCAGGGGGAACTTAGATTCTCGGTTTGACCATTCATTGTCCAGGCTTGACGGCTCAGGGCTTCGGGTTGGAGCTCGGCTGAGGATCCTTGGATGCGGCGGCTGCTAGCCAAGTACCTCCATGTGCGGGAACGCGTGCTTGATAGTGGGCGGTAGCAGGATCTGCAAGCAAAACATAATGGCAAAGACCGAGGACTAGAAACAAACAGCGCAAGAAAGCTGCCTTTGTTTACACCAAAATTACCTGAACATGTCATACCGCCAGTCATGTCCCACAACATGGACAATGACACCACATGCTGCTGCACAAATCATCAGCCTTACGGCCTTCAGGGTCCAGAGTCCTGAGCTCAGCGCCCCACCTTGTGGCCGTTTCCAGGGGGGTGGTAAGGCTAAAATACCTTCACAGCGAACCAAAGCCAACGAGACCGAATCCCAAAATCGTAAATCCTTCGTTGATGTCATTTCATCAAGCATCCTCTTGTCAGGCTAATTCCCCAGGCCGAAAATTCTAGTTGCACGAACATAGCATAAGTGGTAATTAGTTATTAGCAGTTCTGTCTATCTTAATTCCTCCTGCTTAAAAACCACAGCCTACCCTCCTTCAAGCAAACATGTAAGCCGATGGGGTCCCCAGACACTAGTCTTTGTAGGGCCCTTTTCGGCCTTCGAGTCTGAGGGAATGTAATTCTCAATCGAAGCCCACATCCAAAAAAGACTTGTAGTCCTAAAGCCCAAAGCCCTCCACCATGAACCCTAAACGCTCTACCCAAAACCCTAAACCCTGAACCCTACACCCTAAACCCTGAACCCTTTACCCTTTGGCCAAAAACCCTTGCCTATCTCAGCCTGCTGCTCTCAGGTCCGCCCCGAAGAGGCTTGTGCCAGGCAGCCGGAACTTCTGGCCTCAAGCCCATTCCAAAGAGGATCATATTTTCAGGGTTTTGAGTTTGGGGTTTGGGGTTTAGGGTTTAAGGTTTGGAGAAACATGCAATCAAATGGAAAATGAAATGAAAGCTGAGGATATACAGAGTTTAGGCTCTACTTGTCGTGTGTTAGCAGGGAATGAAGGAATGGAAAAGCAAATAGAGACTGTATACGACAATGGAGAATCAAATGGAAAAGGAGACTGACATGAAAAGGAAAGTGTGCCTAGCTACGGACATGTAGGGGAATGGAAAAGAAAATAAATACTACCATTCACTCAGGGGATTGGGGGTTTAGGGCTTAGGCTTGGTTGTAGGGAATTATGCAGAAGCAGGTGGAAAATGAAATCCCTAAACCCTAAACCCTTAACCCCAAGAAGGTTTAGGGTCAACCTCCTGGCTGATCAGGAAATGAAGGGATAGAAGAAAATGGACTACAATGTCCTTGGAAGCAATGGCTTCTGCATGGATCCATCCCCCATAAACCCTAAACCCTGAATCCTAGACCCTAGACCCTCAACCCTAAACCTTGGAATCCCCCGTTCCCTCGTAAGAAACAAGAAATCAGGTGTAGGAAATTGGGCTCGCAATGTGAAATTTGAGGTTGTACGAAGGCATTCGAAATTGGATCTGGGGCCTAAACCCTAAACCCTAAACCCTAAATTGGGACTTCAGAGCTTTGGCTTCAGGGCTTGGTGCTGAGGATCTAGGATTTGGGAGTCACGGCTTTGAGTTCAAAGTTGGGCTGGCGGAGAATGGGTTTAGGGTTTAGGGTTTACGATTAGCTAGAGCTGGAATCTAGCAAGGCCGTTTACATCACCATATGTCTTTGGCATCACCCCACCCTCCCAGAATCCCTTTTCATTTAACACTTTCACCCGCTTTTCTTCCTTCGCTCCCCACCGGCTCATGTCCCCTAAGTCC